GAGTAGCATATTTTAAAAAAAGAACGTTTAAGGTTGTTTTAAGGACATTATCGGACATGCTCTATGCAAGCCATTCTAAAGCAGCCAGGGGGTGATTCTAAATGAGCCAAAAAGCAGAGACAGGACCAATTGTCAAACTTTTGGTGTTGATCATTCGATTTCATCCTGGACACTACAGAAAATGGGCTTAAAGTGTAAAAAACCGAACTTCTCCTTTAACATGAGATGTGGTAACTTGTGCTTTTGCTAACTTTCACATCAACCTTCCAATCAGAAACATCATTATCACCCCAACTACAGTATTCCACTCTTTTTCCTCCCCTACATGGTGACACATGAGTGACCCTTAACTATTGGAAGGTTGTTCCTCCAGTTAGCTTGTTACGGTAACACTTCAATAAAATGGATTTCAGTGTTTACTCCCCATTTTTGAATGTGAAATAAAGGACTTTTTGCAGCTTCAGGTTTCGATCATTTCTATGGCAGCACTTTCAAACTCCTTCCCTCTTTCCACTCTAACTTTCAACTTGTGCTTAAAACTAGACAGTATTAAGCATAGAAACAAAGCATCAAAGCATAATTTAATCCAGAATTGCTGAAAATGGCTCATGCTGGCTTTGCTGCACAGAAACAATGCAACATGTTAGTGAACGGATGCAGAACTTTGGGTTAAACTTGCAGCAGCTCAGTGGGGCAGAAAAGACTTCAACAAGCAAAGCATAGTTTGAAATTTTAGTGTGTCCAAGTCCAAGTCTAGCGTGGAGCTGGGTCTTTTTAACACAGAGCTGATGTAAGCGTGCAGCAGGCAGCTAAATATACACGTGGATTATTACTGCAGTGGAGGGAAAAAGCTGCTTCTTCTTACCTTTTTCTGCCGATTCCTGCAGAACAACACAACGAGCACCAGCAGCAGGATGATGCCCATCCCAATGATGAGAAGGGGGAAGTTTGACACGAGAGTGACAATCAGGAGAAGGGTCCTCATCTGAGACGCCGAGTCTTCGTCAATAGTTGCCGTCTACATTTGAGAACAGAGAGGAATATGTTGATTTATGAGTTCAGGTTATGGTTACCCGAACATCTGTGGTTTGTGTCTTGAGAGCTGGGAAGACGCTGACCTCGTTTACAAACATGATGGGGAAAATGGTCTCATTGAGGAACTTTGTTTTGCTGAAATTGAAAAAAAAAAAAGAAAAGAGAAATAGAGGTTAGAAGGAACATCTGGCTCAACACGCTGCCTAAATGTCGACAGCGTATTTCAACAGGAAAGTGGGTCAGAGTTGAAGAGAAACCTACGGGAAGCCTTGGATTCTTTTCACGATGATGTTGAGCTGAGCCCTCTTGCAGGCGCGGATAGGAACACCTGTGGTCTGGAAAAAAAAAAAATCAAAGTTTTTTTTTTTTTTACTTTCTAATCACTTCTACACACATTTTAGATTATAAAAACACAGCTGCCTTGTTCAAAAGTAGACAATCGGGATTAAAAAAATGCTAAAATGACTGACCATATAAAAGCAGTCACTAATTTATTTGCACTCGGATTGAATATTATAAATTTTTTACCTTTTCATAAACTCTTTAAATTGTCATTTTTCCAGAACAGAATGTTCAAACAACTAATCCTTTAAACAATTTGGAAGCTCAAGTTGTTTTAGTAAGTTACACATCAACTATCCTTTTCGTCACCATAAGAACAGCATAATACTGTCTGGATACAGGATAAGAAAACCTCAGTTAAACATAAAAAAGATGTCTTATTAGTTTAAGGATCAGATCTTTCTGTCCACTTCAAAACCAGTAGTACCAATCAGGAGAGATCCAAGAACAATCACGGCTCAAGCCTTTCAGCCTCCCTTGCATAATATAATGATGTTCATAAAACTGATGAAGTAGAGCAGGGAGCTTTTTATTTGGATTTCTTTCTTTTTCATTACATGTAAAGTGTTAAAAAGCCTGATAAAAGAATAAGTTGTTTGGCATACCGGCTGCAGGTCCAGGTATGTCTCATGCTCCTCCTTGTTGGGGTTAAGCCCGTCAACAGCGTTTATGTACTTGGGGTCGGCCTGGTAAAAGTGGGGGAAGGACACAACGATGGGAGCACCTAGAGAGAAATGGAAATGTGACGAAATAAACAACCAAGGTCAAAAAAAAGATTAGCTAAACATTTGAGGCATTACGATGTTTTATATCATGTAAACAAAGGCTGAAAGTATGTAGCTGGAAGCTTAACATGGTGGGTGTTCAAAGGAGGGTCCAGGGACCAACCTCTCCTTGAACCCTTAATTTGGACTCCAACTTCCTGCTTGGTCTTTTTAATTTACAATCCCTACAACCGTATGAATGACGGCAGGAATGAGTAACAGCTGCAGGTAATGCATTAATGTTTAACTTTTGAGAGTTTCAGCTGTCAGTGACAATTCAAAGGGGCAAACTCTGCCGACAGCTGGGAGGTGTTTGCATGAAGAAATGATGAAGATTTCAGCAATTATTTGCTTAATAAAATACTATGGAAATATAAGCCTCGACTTTGTTTAGGCATTTCATTTTCAGGGTTGATGAAGCACCTGAAGCACGGCCAGCAGGTCATAGGATATTTGCAACAGCTTATTACAGAACGTCCCCAGGCAAAGTGCAAAACGGCCACCATGTGACAGATGAACAGAACAGAGCTGGTTTGGGCGTCTCAACAAAAACATGATATAGTTTTGTTTTTTTTTAGTTACACTTGAAAAACGATCCAGAAATAAGAAAAAATGTCTTAAATTAGGTGTATTTACCCTTGATTTGAGTAGGTAAATGAGATAGTTTGCCAATTGAACCAGTATTTTTACTCTTAAAATAAGATAATTAGATAATAGTTACTTTAAATTAGACAATGCAATTGTGTTTTCTTATTTTAAGTGTAAATTATCTTGTTCCATTGGCAAAATGTCTCTTATCTCCCCAATTCAAGAACAAATGCACTTATTTTAAGAAAAAATGACTTATCAAGATTTTTTATTTTTTGTAGTGTAAGAAGTCTTGATTGTAGGGATGACTCAGGTTTAGCTGTTCGTGTTAGCTGTACTGCTACAAGTTTTCACAGGTTTAAATGAGAATTAATGAAATGGATCATTTAAAGAGTTGGACCTGCATTAATTTATATTCTGCGTACTGATCTAATGCTGCTCGATTGGCGCACACGCCTCTTTGTTTTTTCCAGCAGGTGATCCAATATTTGCATTTCAGCACTGATTTTTATGATGTCTGCAGTAAATGACTCAAAGCTGTGTAATCAGTCCCTGGATAATCTTTGGTTTTATCCTGCCTTTGCAAAACTCCTCCCTCAGCTTTGACCGAAAAGATGAATGTTCCTTATTTTTTCCTGAGTGAACCTGAGGAGTCAGGTGCCGGTTCTCCAAGATTGTAATCATGCTACAGTTTGATTTAGGCACCCCTACATAAAAACGGATCCAACTTTTGCAGAACTCGAAAAAATGATTGAGGTGTGTTGGAGCATCTGATCAGTTACCGTTTCCAAACCTTTATGTGCCCTGGTGATTAAAAACTTCCTTAGAGTCATCTTTTTAAATGGGATCATTAAATAAATTCTGAAATGTTTATTTTGCAAATGTATAGGAATAAAGTTTAAATTTAAATACATTTCAGGTAATTTGCAAGTATAATTGCAAAGGTTAAAGGGTCAAAGTTGATATTGCTTTACTACACACTAACAGCTTTATAAAACCTGCCCACACAGTCAGAGGAGTTAATCATTGAACCTTTGTTGGGTGAAATCTGATGAGCTCAAACACCTGGAAAGTCAGAGAGCCGCTCACCCAATCCATGGAGTAGTTGGGGGGTTGTTATGATGAAAGGATACTAATGATAACTAGGTCAGAGTCTGAGGTAACCGATGAGGGAAGGGTGGACTGATTGGGCAGGGGGTCGTACCTTCTCTACAAACGCTGACTTTCAGCACCCCGGTGCCGAGGCAGTCTCCTGCCGGCACGCAGAAGCCCTCGTTGGTGGGATTTTGCTTGGGGCTCATGAGGACGTCGCTGGGGGGAGCGAAGCGGTAAGCCTGGATTCCTTTAACCTCCACGTCCTCCACGTAGGCCAGATGAATAGACCTGAGGGGTGAGAGCTCACGGATTAGAGGAACATCTTGGGGGAAAATAAAAAATCAAACGAATCCTTCAAGTGATGTGGACTAAAATTAGACCCAATCTCCACAGAAGTCATTTACAACATAATAAACCCTGCTATCGCTTTCCATTACCGCCATCCTCATCGTGCAATGCAACAGCCCATGGACTCAGCAGGTCTGTGAGTAAACAACTTAGCTGGCATTTCCTTCTACACCATAGCCCTGACAGGAAGTCTCCCTCCTCCCCATAGCCAATAAGATTTGACTGTACACAAATGAGCAAAACCAAAAATCAAATGTTTGTACCGGCAGAGATCAGCGGCGAAGATGTACAGCAGCTCGTTCCTGTCGATCAGTGGGTGGAAGACTGCGCCGTCGGTGCCGTTGATCATGTTGCTCTGATTGGATGACCACCAGGACATTTCCCTGATGGAAACAGGTGTAAAGCAATAAAATGTTAAACAAGCTGGAGATACCGTACAAAATAAAACGAGAGTTAAGAATGTTAAACCAAACCCTTTCTTATCTTTGTTCAACACAAATACAGTTTTACTTGATCTTGAAGCTAACTGCTAATTTGACTAGGTTTAAGACCAAAGCAAACAACTACAGAATTTACAATAACTTTCATCTCTAAAACACCATGAAGATCTACTCAAACTTCACTTTATGACTTTCAAACCATCCTTATTTTTGTATTTGAAAGCTTTTACCGCTAAAGTCAATGGCTTTTTTTACTGGTATGGATGCAGAACGTTGCAGCACCAAAAATCTTCCTGTATGAAACATGATCTGATGCAATAAACTTCTGGTCAAAATATCCGTCTCACATAACATTATTTTTAAAAAGCCTCGATGATAGAAGTTCAAGAAGTTTCAAGAATTTTATTGTCATTGTCAAAAAAAAAAAAAAATAAATAAATAAATAAATAAAAATATATTAAAATACTTTATATATTAGTTACTTTGACAAAGGACGCTGTAGTGGTTATAATCAGTATACATTTCATACAGCATCAAAGGCGGCACACCTTCTTCTAAGAATGCTGTGTAAATAAATACCTGATAAGAAATTCTGACTCATTTAATTTAATTTAACAGCACAAGGATTCCTTTCATACTAAATTGATATGCTGATACTTTCTATGATAATAATAATAAATTATTAGACACATTGTTAATTTCCTGCAACAGGATGAACTGGATTCATCCTGCTCATCCTGCCCGATTCCAAACTACACCTTCACCCACTTTCCAAAATGTTCTAATTTAGCAATACTTTTTAGCCTAAAAACCAAAGAGCAAAGGTTGTTGCCTCCGGACGTTTGCATGGAGGTTTTGCAACAACGCAAACAGTGGATATCAGGGACCACGGGAAGTTTTAGCAACGTGCTGACAGAGGGGTTTCATATCATCCAGGACAGCAGCAGTAGAGTGAGAGAAAAGCGTGGCTTGACATGAAAGTTTACCTCAGGCCATTCCAGGTGTCGATCTTGCCATAATCCAAGTAGTTCTGCTCCCCGGTGTGGAACACAAACTCTCCTTCGTGAGTGCCGTTTTTCTGTGGAAAACACAATGTTTAGACACGCTGCGGTGAGGAACAACAGACCAGGAAGCAGTGGAAGCAACAGCTGTCAGAAACGGCAGTTATGACCAGTGATGAACGACCCAGAGGGGGAAAGGGAAAAAAAGAAATACTCCTTTAATATTTGTTCTGACAAGCCCTCTAATGTAGGAACAACACATGCTTTCAGGTCACGTTACAGACGACAGACTTAAATGCCTATAAATCACGTTTTTTGGGGGGTTTCTTGCCATTTTTTTTTTCTTTACCAGTTTCTACAAAAAAAAAATGTTTTTTTTTTCTTCATGTTGCTGAAACTTAAATGATAATGGATCATCAGCTCCATCTGCGCGAGCCTCAAAAGTAACCCTATCAAGTCATGTCCTTAATTACTTTACCGCTGGAGACAAACTGAAGAAGCTTGTCTGTCAACAGGAAGTACGAAATCTTCCATCAGCATTTGGAAGCAGATTTAGGTGACATTAGTACCAACTTCCCCCATTTTGTCATTTCAGTAACTCTGGACAGTCTGCACACGCCAGTTTTCCCTCTGGCTTGGCATAATATAAAAAAAAAGACTGGAACCTCACCTTCCACATCAGCCCAAAGTATTCGTCCACTTCTGGCTTTATTTTATGGATCTTTGACATGAGAGGGTCCTTGAAGCCCCAGAGAACCTCGTGGACAGTGCGAGTCATGAAGAGGTCGACTCCCAGGCTGCTCACATACATGGACACCATGGTACGCAGAAAAAAGCTGTAGGAGTTCAACTCGTTCATCACCGCCTTAGAAAGACAAAAGAAAAAAAATAATAAGTTCAATAGAAGGAAAAATCGACTAAACATTGCCTCCTTTTTATAAGATATTATAGCTTTGACCTCCTGTTAAATCCTTCACTGGTTCAACGTGTATTCATAGTTTATATGTCTGAATTATAAGAATCTCCCAATGAGATTCTTATAATGAGTGAAAAATAAGTGGATTTAGGTAAAATAACACACAAACATTGTGTCTCACCACAAATGGGATGTTGATCGTCCTGATGATGTCCACCTCAGGGTTACCAGCCGACTTCTCAGGGACAAAGACAAAAGATTTGGGATTCAGAGCGTAAACCTTGGTGCCGTTCTCCAGGAAAGTGACGTTTTCCCGTGGCCTGTATTCCCTGATGAGGACAGAAACATTGGTCGATTGTTATGGATGGTAAAACCAGATGATAAACAATCATATGGCTTCCCTCTGCAGTGAAATCATAGCTCGGTAATAGGGAGAATTTGCAGAAAACAACAGGTTACAACAAACTAATTTAATACAACTTAATGTGATAAACCAACAAAAGGTATTCTGTGAAAAACAACGAAAATCTCAGACAATCATTTATTTTTAAATATCTAAATCAAGTAAAGACAAATGAAACCGTTTTAATCCCAGTTACCTAGACTTAAAAGTTACCTGTAAGTATAAGGGCCGATCTGTTTGACAGACGCCTTCCCTCCTGCCAGAAACTCCTCAGGATTGGTCACGTTGAAGAAGTAATACTCCATGTAAACAGGCGGGGGTGGGTTCTTCCATGACTCAAACACTTGGCTCTTCTCTGTCAACGTAATTTCCTGTCAAGCGAATAATAAATGAAATGAAAAGCACGTCGCTACTGAGAAATATTACAAGATCAGACAGATCTTTAACCGGGGCAGAGCGATGGCGTACGCTTCATGGTTTTGTGGTTTTTTTGGGGGCGCTGTCAATGTTGTGTCATATTTGTAGCTAGGAGACGGGCCAAGACCTCAAAAACCCAAAGGGAAAAACTTCTGAAAATTTAGAAAATGTGTCCGACAGAACTCCCCAAGATGATATGAAAGGTGATAGATATAAGTCACTGTAATGTTTAACCTGAGCACTGGGCTGTAAAGCAGCATGACGGCTCGAGGTGTTTGCTGACAGGAAAAGTAAATCAGCATCTGCTACGAGAGAAACGCTCCACTTGCTTTCCCTGCTGAAAGCCCTCCGACGCTCTGAGAAGCTGCAGATATTGTTTTCTGTGGTCTTTCACAGGCATTCCGGATATATAGCATAAGGTTTGACTAAAGCTTCCTGTTTGGGTGAACGCCTCAAATGTTCAAAGTGCCCTAATGGACCTTTGCTGCAACATTTTTTCTATTGTTCCTTTAAAAAAAAAAAAGTGATTAAAAAACAAAATGATACTTTCAAACAGGCCAACACCCTAAAAATAAAATAAAAGATGTACTGATAACCAGAGAGTGTAATTTTGGACAATACTTGATTGGCAATATGCCTTTTAAATTATCAAAAAATATATAAAACAAAACAAGAACTACTATCATTTTTTTATTATTTTTTTTCTCGCTAAAATCAATTTAATTTGGAGAGTTTAATCATAATCTGATGAAGGGATGACGATAATCTAGTAATTCCACAATTTCCTATGAGTCACAAAAAAACTCAAATAATCAGCAGTTCAAATGGGTTTTATTTCTATAATAAATCTGCAAAAACTGGAACTGTTATCTTAAAAAAAGAGCTTAATCTGCTCATCCCTACCTAAAATAACCTTTAAGAAAAACAAATGTCACTGACCACATCGAATATGACAACGGGTTTTTAAAAATGGCTGATGGAGCGGTTTTAGCTTTAGTTTGCCTTCGCAGCGTCACCAGAATCAACCCTAAAAAGAGAACTAGAGGTATTTAAGAGGCAGGGACCTCTGGAGTCCTGATGAGTCGGTCTTTTTTTAATTAAAAGCTGAAATGAAACCAGATAAAGCTGGAAAAAAAGGCATGACCGTCAGCTGAGCAGGGATGAGTGAAAACATTTGGTTCCTTTTGTTTTTAAACGACAGCAGATTGTTGGCTCAGAGCTGGCTGACCGTCTGAACCTTCGCAGCACTAAGTGGGACTGAATCATCGTGTTTGTCAACCTTGGGGAAAGGTCTTCCAAAGTTGAAGGGATTGGAAAAGTCATGTATGAGAAATGCCTGCATCAAAAACCAGAACATACTACAGTGTTTTTAGTGAACTGAAGGTAATCCAGTTACACTTAAACAAGAACGTTTACATGAGAAACAGACTAAGCACGACCTTGTTCCTCGGGACTTTTACACCTCAGTGAAAAGGAGTGGCAAAAGCGGGTGTGTGTGCTTTTTCCCCTCCTTATTTTAGTTTTCTAATTTGGGCCGAACGATTTGGGATTGGCTTAAGCAGGATAAAGGAGGAATTAGGCAACATCTTTTTGGTAAAACTGATTCCCTCGAGGGGTTAGAAAGCCAACAAATTCCTTACAACACTCCTGTACTGCTTCTCTAAGAGTCAACCTCCAGGAGGGAGACTTTGATTTTCCCCCTTCTCCATAAAGCTACGTTCAGCCTCAGATTAGATGGGTTTTTGGAGTCCATTCAGCATGTCTGAGGCGGTCTAATTTATTTGGGAAAGAGGATTAGCTACGCTGTCATTTCTTGTAACCACCAGCTGCGTCAAAGTCAGATCCCCCCCTGTTGATTAACTTTTGCTTAATTTGGGTCTCAGTGGGATGAGGTGCTGTTGCCGTGGTTCCTTTTGCATCCAAGTTGCTCCTTTCCAACTTTACTTTGGGAAAAGCAGAAAAAGATGCATTGGAAGCACTGAATGGAGGAATGCAGAAGGACAAGTGAGAAAAGAAAGATCAGCAGCATGTTAAAGGGGGGAGCAGGTCAGCTGCCAGTGACCCCACCCAACCCCGGCTAGAACCCATCAGCCCCCCACATCCCCTAAACTACAAAAACAAGCAAAGATTGGTATTTTAGAATGACATAAGAGCATAAAAGCAGCATGTTTTGCTCCAATAGAGATCTTCTAGGTAAAATAACAAATCTTATTAAATATGGACTTTCTATAAACTATGACTGATTTATTTTCCAATTTGGACTAAAGAAATGACTGCAGAGAGTCCAGAATCACCCAACCTCCCTTCCCCCAAAGCTGCACACCTCCCTCCCCCTTTCATTCACCAACATTTCTCCCACTGCCTCCTGGAATCATTGAACAGCCAAGCAGGACATGAAACCTGTGTCAGCTGCTGGCAGAAATCATAATCTCATCAGGATTAAAAAATCCTTCACAGCAATTTCCCATTCAACAACAAAAAAATAATAATAATTGTGTTAAATAAGAGCATCCCATGTTAAAGACCCTTTAAATGAGGGGAGATAGGCTCACATCAGAGGTGACTCAGTGTGTTTTACCTCAACATTTCACATTTGTCAATCATGACAAATTAATTAATAGCTATAAAGCTAATCCAGCTGGATTAGAGACCCCAAAGAAACACAGAGTGGTAAAATGTAGGAGATTATGTCAGTGGTTCCTGCGCTGGATGAGTCTGTGACCCTGCTTTGATTTGTCCCCGCGGCTCACAGTGGAAATAATGACAGGTTTACCTTTTTTAGCCGACTGTGGATCATCGTTTGGAAGACCTGAGCCACGACCAGGGCGATCCCCACGATCAGGAGGTGAGCGCAGACGATGCCGGTGGCGTAAATGACACATGATCTCCGAGTCATGATGAAAACTTCACTGAAGAAGGCAATAACTTCCACAAAAATAGATCTATCTCTATATATGTGTGATTAAAGAAAAGGAGGTGAGGAGTTGTAGGACCGTGAAGGCTCGGGTCCCCCCGTCTCCAGAGCAGCAGCTGCGGGTTGAAACTTCACTCTTCCCAGCGGCGAGAGGCGATCCTCCCGGTGAGGGTTTTAAATTGATGGCACTTCTTCAACACAGAAGGGAAATTAAACGTAACACAATTTAAACCCCCCCCGAAAGCAAAGGAGGACCAAGCTGCTCGGAGACGGAGGTGAAATGAGACGGTGTCGCCCTGCTAGTAGGGTGGTAGAAGAACGGGAACCTCCTCCTCCCTTTCCTGAAGCCGGTGAGGCGACACGCATAGATCTATGCGAGTAGACGCTGCATTGGGGGGACCTAACGCCTAACGGACGTAAATTACGCGGCCATCTTGAAGGAGGCATTTTTTTCTTCTTTCATTTGTTTTTGACATAACAGCAAAAAAAAAAATAATATATATATATATATATATATATATATATATATATATATATATATATATCTACTTCAAGGTGCTGGGTGAGGTTTTGACAATTTGGTCTATGATTAATCATGAAGCAAATAAATATGCAGATGGAAGAGCCTGGGCTCTTAATTCAATTCAATTCAGTTTATTAATATAGCGCCAATTCACATTCAAACACATGTCATCTCAAGGCACTTTACAGTTCACCAGATCATACGGTCAAATTGATTCAAAGTTTTCTATCTAAGGAAAACCAGTTGATTGCATTGACTCATTGACTGGGATGCAATCCCTCACACTAAGTATGCTTGTAGTGACAGTGGAGAGGAAAAGCTCACTTTTAACAGGAAGAAACCTGCAGCAGAACTAGGCTCAGTGTGAGCGGCCATCTGCTGAGGCCGACTGGGGTTCAAGGGGACAGACGCAGAGATACAAAAAGCAGCTTACTGCATGGAGTAAGTGTGTTCAGATTATAGCTCACTCTGTCCTCCTTCCAAAAGCAGATAGGATGAGTTGGGAGACCCTAAGATAAGAGTGTTTGCAATACAAGGTTTTTAGTCCTGTGTCTCTGTGATGGAGTGGTGACCGGTCCGGGGGGGTGGGGGGGCTGTTGGCAGATACCCAGCAGTTCCCCACATCCAGGCAAGTATATACCCCTTTCCCCCGGCCAGTAAAACAGTTTAAACCTGGGAACGATCAGCTTTTAGTGGCTTTTAGTGTGCTCCGATCGGCATACGTTGGGAAAATTAGATCCAGATCGATTTATGAGATATCATTGAGAGCAGCATATGGATGTCACAACATAATATATAAAAAATTATTAAATATAAAGGTTATTAGATCAGTTATTAGAGCTAAAGATCAGATAAAATATTGTGGTTTGGTATAATTTCTGTCTAATTGTTTATTGATGCAATTTTGTTTGTAATCCTCATAGCACTGTGAAATTTATTTTCTCTGGTTTACATTGGGTTAATTGGCAAACATTAAAATTCTAAAAAAAAAAAAATGTATAGATTTTTTCTTTACAAAACTAATCTTAATTTTTTAGGTTTCCGTTCATTATTTCTTTTATTTGAAAACCTACTTTCTAACCACTCAATACCAAATTTGCCACTTGCAATATGGAGGAGGCACTGACGCGTTGGTTGTATTGGGCAGAAGCGACTTCTACTCTTGTAGTTCTATGGCCAGAGGCCAGCTTTTGGGCCGGCTGTATGGATGGGTGTGTGTGTAAAGATGCATACACAACTGTTTGTAAGAATGCTGTTTATGAGAATGTTTATGTAACTCAACAGAACGTGATTGAAAATATTTCACCTATTTTGTCGGAGCATGAAACTGCCGACTATATCATATTTATTTGTATTCATTTTATCCTTCATGATGTTCATTCTCTGCTGATCTAGTTACTGTTACTAGGGTTATGAATTAATTTAACAGAAGCAGCATGGTCTACCACATGGGCACGCTGTTGGTTAGTATCATCACTGCCACACTGTTTATACTGTTATTATCGTGGCTTTTTGTTGTAAATATTTCACAATGGTTCGCTCTGCTAATGAACATGTAGGAAATGATAAGGCAGCACATTCCGTTAGCTTTTATACAGGAACCGCTATCTCGCCTCATGTCGCCTCCTTAAATAAGCGCCGGGTCGGCATGAATAATGTTGGATTCAAACAACCAACGGTCGTTGACGCGAGCGCTTTGTCCGACAGGCGGGGGCTCTCATTGGCTGCCGCCCTCACGGACCACCGTTCCAAGACCTCCCACTCTGCGCGCGGATTGGTTGGACGGTGGTGAGAGTGATGCTGAATTTCATCGACTGATTTCAGGGCGGAGCTTGTTTAAAGGGGGAACCAAAACATGTGAGGCTCTCTTCTGCCAGAGGGAGAAAAAAATAAAATAAAGCACGGATGTTTAAAAGGTTGTTGTTTTTTTTCCCTGAACCACACATTGTGTTTCAGAGGTGAACAATAAAACAGGGAAGATTTATGACCTGTGTTATACTCACAAGGAGTCTAAGGCCATCAGATAATGACAATGCCAAATCATAAGATCTCTAACCTTGGAATTGAAGGGAAGGGTTCATTTTGTTCTTTTACCTTGACCAAGTTAAGAGGTGTTGAAATAAAAATGAAAAACAAAAAAACCAAACAAAATAAAAACGAACATACTATTTATATACCTTACAATAAATACCTTCTCCATCTTCTACCTGTCTAGTATATCCCTTTTGAGTAATTAACCTTACATATGGGGAAGGGAACAAATAATAGATAAAAATAAATAAATAAATATGACAGTTTTACTCATACACACTTACATTTAAAACAATATTCTGACTCAAAATACAGCCAAACAGGCAGAGTCAAAGACCATTCTAACAAGGCCATCAGATAATGACAGGAACAAATCAACAACTTGTGTAACCTTGAGATGGGGAGCTGGACTCATATACTTTAAAACTGGAAAAGTAGTAAGAAAATCCTGCCAGCAATATGGAAAATAGAAGTCCTGTTCAATTCAGTCATTTTTAAATGACTGTTAACGCGACAAGGCAAAAAGTGACCTGCAACCAAATATCAGAATCAATAAAAATAAAAAAAAATCTGATTTTAAAACCAAACTCTTTTCCATTATTTGAGTTTTAATTGGTTTGTTCTGCAGTACAACAACTAGTTTAAATCTACACCTTTTTCAATCAAGTTCGCCTTTTCAAACACCTATTGTATTGTGCTAATCGGAAGTGTAAGGCCATCAGATAATAGCAAACACAAACCATAAAAACTAGAGTGGCCTTGAGATAAGGTGCTGCTCTTATAGTTTTTACCTTGACCATGATTTGAAAAGGTGTGAGCTGAAATGTTTAGGAAACAACATTCAACATTAAAATGCATGCAGACATTTCAGTTTCATATTTTTCGGCTTTACTTACGTGTTCACTACTACAGAAATATATTAAGGGTTTTAAATGACAGCTTAAAGGGTTCAACTTTTACATTGCATATGGCGCTGCCATTCAACCAGAACACATTTGTTTTTTTTTTTCTAAAAAAAACATCCCATGTTGCTACGGATGATTCACTCTGCTTTGTTGAAGTCCGTCTCTTAAGAGTAAATCTATTTCCTGCTTTGCAATGCATCATTAAAACCAACGTGAAAGAAAAAGCACAGAAATAATTTTTGCTGCTGTAAAAAAAAGAAAAAAAAACTATTCCGCACAGTAAACATGGTGCTATGCAGTATCTCACTACTGGTTCAGTTACTATTCAGCCTAAAACATAGTACTCAATAAGAACTACAAAGGCACATGTATGGTATTTTGATCTCTGCAAAAATACAAATATGTTTTGCTATAAAGCCTCTCCAAACATAATCTGAACCGTAATTGAGAAGTCTTTTAACTAATATATAGATTCTTTGTTTCTTTTTTGTTTTTTTACAAAGTTTTCAGCTGTTCTGGGGGAAAAAAATGAAATGCACCACTGTTTTAAAGTTAGAAAAGGTCAAAGGGCAAATTTGCTTTGGGATTCTGAGGCACTGAAAGCATTTAACCAGTGAGAGGCTGAAACAAGACACTGGGAGCTGCAGGAACCACCACAGTCCATGTTTACATGCAAACACCAGCTGCTTATCTTACAAGCAGACTTATACCCAGAATTCGAATGGATTAGATGGACAAGCTGATACCAAAAAAGAAAAGAAGGCTGTGTCAATCCCTTAGTGATTTTTTGCATAGTCACCACTGTGGATACATCTATTTTGTGTGACTCTAAAAAGAAAGCCCCAATATCTCACTGATCTGTACTAGACCTCCGGTTAGTTCGATGAGTCCAGCTCTTTCAGTTGTAGTGCACTGACTGAAAGGTGAACACGGTCATGCAGCTTCTGTTTTATAATCCATAAATAAAGTTGGACAAAAGACAACAAGTTGGCCTCAGGAAGTGATATACATCATATCATTTGATGTTGCTTTCTGGAAGGAAGTGACTGGGCTGGACTCTCACTATTAATGTGATTGAGTGTTACCTCATTGTACAAGGTCTTATGGCAGTCCCAGAGGATAGAGCCTGTAGCGGGGGCGGCATCTGTTCAAACAAGAGGGGGGAAAAATGCTAAAGAAAATCATCAGGGGGGAAGGATAACAGTCAAGTAATGTAGCAACATTGTTCCTGCCAAAGAAAGGAGGGAGTGGGTGTGGGGGGTGAAGTGGGGTAAAACAGTTCAACCTTTGTAATAGTCTCTTTTTATGTTTGCTAAGCAGAGCGACACTGATGTCTTTCTTTTTTTGCTGCTGAAGAAAAGGTTTGAACGCCTTTTGCACGAACAGATTTAAGATGGGGTTTTTTTTTATGCAAAATAGCTGCTTTTACTGTAAATATATAATGGTGCAAAAAATAAATATTTACATGCATCATGAAATGAAGCATTTAGAAAGAAAATATTTTTAAAAAATAAAAACAAAACTATTCATGTTGGTTGCTTCCACAAATCATTCATTGTGTTCAAGCCCCACCTCAGAAGCAAGAACATTTGTCTGGACAGAGATGCCTATTCATGGGGTTTTGGGACAGAAAATGAATGAATAGTTCAATACATTCTGGAAAGTCAACTTCTCAAAGTTGTCTGGGCTTTAGGCTTTGAGATTCTTCTCCAGGAAGAATGTAAGGCCACAAGTCTCACACGCTCAGTCATTGAAATAAGTTCAAGTCACAAACACTGGGTCATTCTCACGTGGAAAGGAGAGAACTGCTGAGCACCAGAAAATCCTGTTTGG